TCTGCCGAGAAAACTGGAGATATCATCGAGTTCTGGCTTGGTGTCTTGGACGTGGCCAATATGGCCAAGGGAGTCGTAGATGTTTTCAATGCTAGTGTTGATCCAGCTGAGTATCTCAATGGATTGGAAAAGGCACTGGCTCAATTCACATCGACCTCCCGAACCTCGAGCACCATCAATGACAAGAGACGGGGATCCTTCGACTGCACACTGCAAACTGCAGAAGCCGAGAGGGTCATGAAGCTCATCCACGCAATCCCCGGATATGATTCGCTGGCCAATTTCTGCTGCCTCACGGACTGGGAGAAGGATCAGGTATTCTCTCATTATCGCAGGAAGAACAACATCACAGGGGGTGACGCCAGCATGGGCACTGATGCCGGTGCCAAGCCAGGTGACGAGTCGTCGGCTCACCCTGGGGAGGAGGAAGCTGATGAGCCAGCGAACGACCCCACCGATGTGGTCAGGGACTCAGAGAATTCCGGGAAACAACAACTTTTGGATGCGTTGGGAAAACTCTTCACCGTCTCTGAGGATGTCAACGTGTGCTTGTATTGTGGTAGCACCCAACATGGCCATCTTGAATGTGAACATGAGAAGAGGGATGAAGTCAGAAAAGTGCTAAAGGCCGTCCGAGCGTCGCTCGAGGCTGATAGTCCAACATCTGATGACGTCGATATGGAGCCTCCTGAGCACAAGAAGGACGGTTCAGGTGCTACTGATGGGTCGGGGCAAACGGATGAACCTACAAAATCGAGGTTTGGTGAACACCAATGGTACGACAGCATCAGAACCATGTCTGAAGTTGGTGACCTCGATGAGTATGGCAGATTCTGCATAGAAGGACGTGATGTTACAAAGCTAGGACCACAGAACATTGTTGACCTCAACGAAGTGGTCAGAGACGCTATTGTCAGAGGAGGAGGTGACTCTTGGTCAGTGCCAGACTTTATGGCAAGCTACTCTGATAACAACATCAGGAAGCCCTTCTACAAGAGAGTCGAGGCGCCGCAAGATGGTTTCTTGAAAATCATCCCGACCACGGGGGCCCATTTCTTCAACTGTTCTTACTTTGGCGGTGTAGAATATGCGGCCAACTACCGATTCGAGACTGGCAACCGACTCAATACCTACGAGGACAAGGTGAGTACATCACTAAACAGGATCCTGCGGCACAACGTGGGGAAGGTATCAGAACAACAGAGTTTGTCATGTGATGACGCCGGCTGGGTGCCCATAGAGGAGGTGCTCAAATGCGAGTCTATCTGGAGGCACGAGTACGCACGCTGGCCACATGTATTCCTTGCTCCAAAAGGAAGAGCAAATGATCAGAGTGCATGGAATGTCGATGAGGCAAACTACCGCATGACGTTGCTCTTCAAGATCATGTTCCACTGTGCCCGGTATGGACGTCGTGTTCGTGAACAAGTCTTGGCATTTGGTATCAACAAGGATATCGAGCGCACCAGCCTGACGTGCATTGACAACAAAGTCGATGCGAACACGAACATTCCTGATGAAGGTCTACTGCTCTACCCTGTGGCGGTCCGTGCTCCTACGGGGCACAAGGAAGGATCTTCGAGGGACGACGTCTCATTGCTGTCCTCATTACTTTCACATCCAATTGCGCCCAACACCATTTTGTCGTTACCGGTTTGTTTCCACATCACCAAGAAGACCAACCTTCGAAGCATTTGGAGGCAGGGATTAATTCCAGGAGGTCTTGGAGAAGGTCATCGGATGTTCACGTTCTTCAACCCGTATGTGCCATGGGATCACAGATCATGGACTATCACGAAGAGCGTTGATACGCGAAAGGGGGACTACATTTGCTTGTTCATCCCGACCGAGACCTTGATGGTGGAATATGGCGGTCGACTGACTGACTCGGGACAGATCGTCTCACCAAAGATCATCCCGTTCTCGGCAATCAAAGGAGGATGGATTCAGGACCCAAAGGACCAAAACAATAAGACATGGCTCCGGTTGTTCGTCCCGTCGGGCGACGACCAGGTAGTCCGGTCTGGAACTGTCAAATCAAGAACGGTAGCCACCAAGGAGTCCATCCTGAGGGTTGCAAGTCAATGCATCGACGCCGAAGATCAACCGTTTGACGAAACCGCCATGGATGCCATGAACATCGTCAACCAATTCAAGAACGACCTCATCAAGCCTGGCGGACAAGAACAATACCTGGCCCGCATCAAGCTGATTGACTACATAGTCGAACGCAAAAGGGTGCAAACATCAGGTTGCCGCCATTGTCCTCACTGTCTCAATGAGACGCCGACAAAACTAGCAGTGTGTCTAGTTTGCTGGACGGAACTGGAAAGTTGTGGAATCCGTCCCTATCGGCTACAAGCTCCTGAAGACGATGAAGATGAGGCCACGAAGAAAGAGATCGATGAAGAAGTTCGTCGACAAGAAGAATCGTTGTTCAAGGATACGGTCCATCAAGCACAAGAAAACGTATCCGAATCCAACGACTATGGCTTCAATCCCGACGAGGTCGACTACAACGAAGGCGATGATGAAGAAATGGATCAGGAGGAGGAAGCCCAACAGGAAGACGACGAAATCGTTGAAGAAGACGAAGATGAAATGGAAGTCGAACCTGAAGATGAATCCTCTTCCAAACTTCCAGCATGGACCAAGAACCTCGAGAGCGGCAGCAAGGGTATGCCAGAAGACGGACTTATCAACAATGATGTCTCCGAGGCCGCGGCTCACTTGTATGACAATGCTGTCATGTCAAAGGTCATCACAATGTTCAGGCTCTACTACAAACAGAGAGTCACTCTGACCCCAGAGGAGTACTATGAGATGATGACGGAAACCAAGCGAGTCCGGCTGGACCTGGACGACTTCTGTCCTTATACAGGAGAAGACCAGGATGGCAACCTCAAGCGACCGACGGAGCTGGAATTGGATGAACTCTTTCAGCAGAAAGGGAAGAGGAATTCATGGTCAGAAGGAGAGAAGTTATACTCAGGGCGACCAAGAAACATGATGATGCCTGTCATCAAGACTTTAGAGATCTATGAGAAGATGATGGAATTTCTGGTACGCGCTGGGTACACTCCTGAGTCATTAGGCTTTCTCATGCCAATGAACCGAATGCAGGCTGATGCCCAAGGGAAACAGGAGATGCGAGTAACCATCAGCAATTTCCTTCGACGACTGCTCAAAGGAACCTTTCCGGAGCACGAGTCATACACCTTCTTTCGCTCCGGGAGCCACGGCTTCCCCAACTGCATCGAACTCCCAGCTTTCTCGGTATATCTGAGCCTGAGGGAGAAAGAACAGAGAGTAGAACTGCTCTTTGCAGCCCAACAGTGTGGCATTCCTCTACCTCAAAACTTTGTCAGCAAGATGGCTTATGCTATTCAGCTGGCCGAGGCCGAGGCGCAGAGGGGGAAGACCGAGATGAAAACGAAAATGGCTCCAACCCTTGGCGACGAAGTGGTGAGTGAAGTATTCAAAGCGGTTGGACATACTGCAGCTTCCAAGTTTGCTAAACCAACTGCGCAACCTTCACAGACACCTGAAGGCACTGGTTCAGCATCATCCTCATCGGCTAGTGCACCAAAGGGCAAGGCTATGCCGAAATCCCATGAACCATCAAAGGCACCGCCTGCAAAGCCTTCATCGCCGAAAGCTGCTCCGAAACGTGCGGCAGGATGGGAGAGAACTCCAACAGCACCTCAATGGAAGAAAGTCCGCCGTGAGCAGTAAACCAATTACTTCGATCCGCCAAAATGATCACTGGAATATGAGATGTGCATCGTCTTTATGAACAGATGATCAGGAAAGGATCAACTGAGTGGACTCTGAGCGAGGCAGTAGAATAATTCGCTTAGGTTCAAGATTTTTGATATTCCCAATCTGCACGAATTCTGCACTGTGCACGTGAATTCGTTAGTTAGCATTGTAAATCTTTAGTAGCGAAGCGATCCATTTCTCCCGACGGGTGAGTGGTATGCCTAGCCAACGTAGAAAAGTAGATGTTAGCTAGCAATAATTCGCGTTGTACAGTTTGATAAAGCGCCGAAGCATCGACAGCCAGAGAGTAGGCGAACCCTGAACCATTATTCCCGACGGGTATGTGGGGAAGGGGGGGCCGAATGGCACGTTTTATGTACATAGGCGTAATTCAAGTAGCAGAAACAATCTAATTCAAAGTTCCCTCTCTCGTGTCCGTGGTTCGAAGAATACCACGGGCATGGGGGGTGTCAAAGGGAACTGAACACTAGGACACTTGTGATGTACATGCTTAACTGTACATCTGGACGCCGTACTGGCTCAAGTCCGTGTGCGAGGAAAAGGGTCCGAGCTGCGCTTGCCATGCACCATCAGTGTCCGGCAATACTGGCATAACAGGTATCGCAATTGATAACTACATCCAGAACAAGGATTCATTTGTTCACATTATGACATATTATGACTATTGGATTGGATTCATTGATAGTATCAAGCAAAATGCAGGTGTCATGGGCATGGTGGAGTTGACCCCAAGAACGTGTTGCGGGCTTTGTCCTAGGTCACGACCATGACGGTCACGACAGCAACGATCACCAGCCGCACGGGTTTAAAATTGTCAAATGTTCTGTGCTTGACCCTTTCACCGACATGATTTTGTCATATTTTGTCATACACTTCGCAAGTTTCATGCCATTTCCCATTCCGAGGTACTGAGGGCTGCTTGGACAGCACTGAATGATTTGTCGCTACAATGTTTGACGTCATAGAACCCAACTAGTTGAATCAGTGAATACGATATGTATATATATATACATGTATTATATATAAGTATATACATATATATATATATACACATGTATATATATATATGTATATATATATATATATATATATTGAGCTCAAAGCTGCTTGGGGTCAGTGTTGAACTCTTCAGAATTTGTGTTCTTCCTTGTTAACTTCATGTTCCCAACTCATTCAACACAGAATGAGAATCGGGATGCAGCCAGGCAACACCAGCTCCACCACTGAGACAACAACCTCCGCTGTGGGCCCGGCATGGGCTTGTTCCACTTGTTCCACTTGTTCCGCTTGTTCCGCTTGTTCCGCTTGTTCCGCTTGTTCCACAGATCAGGCTGCAGACATTCAGAGCTATTGGTTGTTTCGTCTTAAGTATAACATCATAATTTCATGTAATTTCATGTAACATCCAAACGAAACTTGTGGTGGTGCATTTGGTGCATTGTCAATTCTTTGTCGAATTCAAGTCCAAGCTCCAACACGATGTGCACCCTGTGTCATCAAGTCACGCCAGAGCAGCACCAGCACCACCAGCCGTACGATGACGACGCAGACAGCGACCACGGTGCCATTCAGCACCACCTCTGTGCTTCGGCATCGTCGTTGCGTCGAGAATGCAATTGAGAATGCAATTGCCATGCCATATCATGCCCCCATTTACCCTCTGGTAAACTAACATAACTATGGAAAATCACCATTTTTTAATGGGAAAACTCACTATAAATGGCCATGTTCAATAGCTATGTGAAATTACCAGAGGGTATTTGATTTCATATGATTCAATGATTTTCAAAGTCCACAAATGATCATTAATGATCATTTGGATGAGCCATATATTTTGCAAGGCAAAATTTGGTGGAACGCTTCTCCACGGAGATCATCGGACCCCCTTCACGTCGCTCTTAGGTCACAGGGACGATGACCGAAACGAAGACCAGCCTCACCTCTTCCATCACAACTTCCAGCATCTCGGCACTAGAGGCGTGATCAGTGCACGTCCACGTCTAAAATGTCTAAAGTTCCGAAACTTAGGTGCGGTTTTTGGATGTTGTTGGTACTTTTGGAGGTTCTACAGCTCTTTTTGCTGATGATACTGGTCAATGAAAATCACCCAATGAAGCAAACATGGGTCAAAAAGTCAAACCCCTGGTGCCCAGTTTTATTCGTTTCATTCATCCCCTCAAAAGAAATTGTGTTTGAAATTCTTAATGTCGAAATCTTGGGTATTTGAGATTTTTGTTTGAAAATAGGGTAGCTCTAAATCCATTGATTCATCATCATGTTCCCTGTACAATGCTATACGCCATTATCAGACAAACCCATACTGTATGAGTTTGACACAGACCCAGAGCCACATTTGAGCAGTGTGCTCTATCAACCCCTGTTGGTTGATTAAAGTTCGGGGATTATACTACCAAATATAATTATTAGCCTATAATCATCAACCATAACCAATAATCCCCCAAATAATTAGGTAGTATAACCCCTGTTGGATTATTATCCCATAATTTGGTTGATGATTATAGGGGATATTTGTCATAATCCAAGCAGTAGAAGTTGTCAAGGCTTCACAGCGACTTCGACCTCTTCATCGACATTCACCCAGTCCTCCGTCACCCAGACGTCCACGACGACCAGCAGTGCCACAACGAGCACCACCAGCACTGAAACGTCCTCAACGGCCACGTCTTCAACGGCCACTTCAACTACAAGGCGGCAGATGGCTCCAAAATTGGTCTAAATCCACAGGAAATCCAGGCAAAACCTGCAGATGTTGTTTGGATTTCCCTTGCCACATTCATCCAAAATGGATGATTTAACACATTTTAAGAAGGACACATTAACACAATTTAACACATTATTTTGTGGGTCTATGGGTCTTGGATGTCTACGGTACCCCATTTGAGACCCATAGCAAGTATCTTGCCAGGACGTTCAGCAGCACTGGAACCACTTCCCTCACCAGCAGCACATCCACATCGCTGTGGCTTGGCAGTTGAAACGGCGCTGGAAACGCAGCTGAAACGCAGACGGAATACGCAGAGTCGATGCCAAGGAGCACCACTTCAACGATTACGAAGACGATCTCGAGCACAAGTTCAACCGTGCTTTGGAAACGCAAAGGTGGTGTTAAATACGGTGGTGACTTGAAAACCACAGACATACAATCATACAGTGTAAAAAGGAAAAGAATCTGGCTGGTAGAAAATGATGTTTGCTGCACAAAAGAGTCTTACAAATGATGTTTGCTGCACAAAAGAGTCCACATAGTCTATCCAACACCCTTGGTTTTGCGCAAGAAAAACATGGTACAAATATTGCTCTGCAAATATCTGCAGGTAACAAGCATCACATCAACTGCAACCACCTTCACCAGCAGTTCCACATCAAGCACTTCAAGCAGCAGCATCTTGGACTTGGAGCTGCACCATCGTCGCCATTGGTTAGTAGTTCACTGGTTCCAAGGTACTACCACCACCAGCTCCACCACGACAACATCTGTGGATCCAAACGTACCTTAGCAGCAACAGATTTTATGATTTATGATTTAAAATTTATATTATATTTATAACATTTTATAACATTAATAATTTAAATTTCTATCGATGTACTGTGCACATCTGAGCACAGTGAACTGCCGGCCTTTCCCGTTTACCAGGACAGATTCACCAGAGTTAGAGCCCCTTCAGCGGCGTCGAATTTCGGTGCCTAAAGAAACCAGTCGCTGGTTGATACGTCCATGGTTTCTGATGCTTCTGGTCATTCGATATCATTTACATGTAAAAAATATCTATATATTATCCATTATTATCCTATACTATGCAACCATGTCCCTGCTGCGTCTCCATGGTCGAAATCACCAATGCTGCGCCAGTTGTGATGTCAGGCCTTGGTCTTTCTTCTGGAAGATATGGGACCCAAGGCCTGGCGCTCCATTTTGGTCCGATGAGGGAGCAGTGTCCGCCGAAACCACCATGGTCCGATAGTTCTCCTCTACCCTCTGGTTATGTCAAAATAGCTATTGAAAATTGCCATAGAAATAGTGGATTTACCCATTGAAAATGATGATTTTCTATAGCTATGTTAGTTTACCAGAGGGTATGTGGTGTTGTAATTTTGGTGTTTGTAGATACTATGACTACAATTAAAACAGAATGATACTATGAATGATAAGCATAGATAGGCATTCATTCACTACGATGATGATGATGATGATGATGATGATATGACCATCCAAACTTCTTGTACTGTATGGTGGTTTGCTATGAAGCGGTATGAATTACAACAACCTCACTGCGACGTCACTGGAATGATGGTGAATGTATAGGGGAATCATCCCCAAAATGACCCAAAATGTCAGGCTGGTGAGAAAATGTAAGTTCAGCCAGAATCCATTTAAGTTGGTTATACAGTTATACCATGTTATGCCCAAGCCCAAATAAATACGTCCATTAAATTTTTATTCTACCCAGATTTCATTCGGGATTCAGCTAGATTTTAATAGATGAAATCATTGGTGATGTTATCCCGCGGAAGCATCATCTCACTCTTGGCTGGTTGGTGGTTTGGAACCTGTTTGTTTCCATGGGAATAGTCATCCCAACTGATAGTTTTCAGAGGGGTGGCTCAACCACCAAGCAGTTGGATTTAGTGATTATACTGTGGATGGAAGAAATCCTGCACCAGTTGGTAAATGGGTTTTCCCATTATAATCCCGTTATTTACAGTGTTTCATAGTGTTTCATAGGAAGCTAATAGTTCCCATCGCAGGATTTCTTCCATCCACAGTATCCTCTTTTTTACTCACCCAGCGGATCGATCAAATCACCCATGGTCAGTTGATATTGCAGGCCACCAGCATGCAACCAAGTTACGGACTTGCAGGGACAGTCATCGCGGAAGCCTCAGGGAGGTGTGCGACATGTGGTGTTTGTGTTGGATGGATGGACTTGATACATAAATGATTTATATACATACATATATATATATTATATACAATGCATACGTAGTTATATTATATATGTATAATATATATATATATATACCTTATGCAAGCGGTAGAAGTGCTCAAGTAGGATATGAAGAGTCACTGGAATCGATTGGACAAGGAGGGGTGTTCAACGCCTCATGAATCTCGCTCCGCGGCTCTTTTCAGCCAATACTTCACGGAATAGGCATGTCAACGCCTATGAGTGCTGTGGTAAAAACAGCATGCCCCCCGCATCTTCTTTCTCCTTATGAGATAGTGATGCTACCCCTTGAACTTTTTCTCCAAAACCAAAACCAAGACAAAGAAAAACCAAACAAGACGAAAATCATTCCGTGGGTTTCCATGGTGTCTCCGGCTCGGTTTCTGGCCCTTGACTCTTTCTGTTTTCAAGAGGCTCCAGGCCTAGCAGCTTCCTTTTCCGAGCTGACGCTCTTTCTTCATCTTCGACTATGCGCCACTTGTGGCCCATGCGGTAGAACAGGTGCAGTTGCTTGTGCTCGTTGCTCTTGGTCAGCCCGTTTGATAGCTGAGCTTCACTATGAACCCATCTAATCTCCACAGCATTGCGAATCTGGGCAGATTTCAAGGAGAGTAACTCCAGGTCTGTTCTCTTCTCAGCGCCCTTCACGGACAAGACCTCGGTCTCTAACTTGTCGTACACATTCCTGGAGTCAGTAACCAGGCATCCACTGATCTGGTTGACGACACTGTTGATGTCTCTCACATTGACCTGAGCTCCCATCATTTCTGCCAGTTGGAATCTCGCAAAAAAGAGGAGATCTTCTCCGTTGTTTGCTGCTGCTGCTTCTGCTGCTCCGGGGCTGCGGCAGATCCTGCCAATCTTCTGCGAATGCCAGGCGACAAAGGTGACTGGCTCACAGCTGCCATGACGTAACCGGTGAGATGAAATTCCAACTATAATGCCTTGTGTGCTTGAGCCATCTACGCGGTTCTGAGAGGCGGCATCTACCCATGCAAACAGTGACAACATGTGTGGTTCTATGGCATGTACCTTCATGCAGTGTTCTTTCATGTCTTTGACTTTGTCAAGTAACCTGTTAGCCTTGTAAATGGTCTCTATAGTACTCTTGTTCACCTCTGACAACAGCAAGCCAACTTCAGCACTGAAGTGGGGCGCAACTTGTTGTGCGTGCCATGAGACCCCTCCCAGCAAGGCCCTAAGCTGTGTTTTCTCAGACTCCTCAGTGGGTGCATTTCGGTCTTTCTTCCTGAAGGCTCTCAGGTTAATATATTTCAAGTCTTCAACATACTTCGGTTGTGACAACGAAAAAGAAAAATCTTCATGTTGTTCCACTTGAACTCCGCATTGGGTAAACCTTTTTTCTTCCCAATCTCCCCATTTATATTCCGTTTGGATACTCTTGAGAACAGTACACCAACCCTCATGCGTTTCATCCCCACTAAAAAGGAAATCATCAACATGACCAGAAATAATCCCTTTGGTAACCCCATCAACCACATAAACCCAGCAGCATGCGTCACTCCAGCATTTTTGCAATCCGAGTTTTGCAAAGAAATCGGAAATGGAACGATACCATTCCAGTGGCGCATCAACTAAGCCATAGCAGGCTTTCTTCACTTTGGTGATTGACTCTGCTGGGAGTCCCATCCTTTCACAGATCTCTGGGCATGGTATACAAAAAAGGTCATCAGGGTATGGCCTGCTTTGCAGGAAAGCACCTGTCACATCACCTTTTCGCATCTTGTGGCGATATGAAGCGGCTAATTGCATCTGCAGTTGCCTGGTCTGGCGAGTCGTGGTTGGAGAAGTCGTTGCTCTCTGTTCATAGCATGGATCTTGGTATCCTAAGAGGACGGCTCTGGCTTTCGCCTTTCGGCTGCCATCCTCCTTCTGCTTCCATGTCAGTATCCAACGCATCTTCACTGCTTGTTCGCGTGCTGGGCGAAGTTTCTCTGGAAGGGCTTCAAAAGCCTTGGCAGCTATGAAGTTACTCACTTCCACGGCCTTTGCAGATCGGAACTGTTGTCGCTCTTCCTCAGATAGGTGACGCTCACAGACTTCAACTGCTGACCGTTTCTTCAAGCTACTGGCAAAGTAAGAAGGGAGATCTCGAAGAGCTCGTTCAGATCCAGCACGTGTGTCTGGCATGGGAACCTCCACGGCCACGGCCGCGGTCTCATCCATCCAGAAGGTGCACTCGGTGACTGCGAACACTTCCTGGATACTTGACTGGTTCCACCATGGTGGGGCAGCAGCCATGCCTTGTTGGGCACTCATTCGAGGCCTCTGTGACACGGGTGCTCCTGAGGATGTAGAAGGCGTAGACCTGGAAGTTGGACTCCTGGATCGCCCTGTTGGCCTGGATGTTGGAGGAGCCGGTCCCATGCCACTCTTCTCATCTACCATGGGGCCTCGTTTTCTTGCACATCTTCTCATTGGTTGCCATTCTTGGACTGGATCTTGAGCTCGTAGCCATTCTGCATAAGAGGGTACTTCGGTGGACACGTCCAGAAACTCGTTCCCTCCAAGTTGTTGAGCTACTCTATCAAAGTCCCAGTCATCGTATTGTTTGGCATGTAGTTCCTCTAAGAGGACCTCCCGCTCGGAGGCTCGACGTAGTTGCTCTGGGGAGCACTTGAGAAGTCTTCTCCCTCTGACGCACCAAATTGAGCTGCCCTGCTTGTGGGTCCCGTCGGGAGAGCGATGTTGCTCCACCGCCAGGATGCGGGCTGGCCCCACAAACGAGCCACCTTTAATGGCTGCTTGGCCGCTCACTTGCTTTCTCCACACATACACTAGGTCTCCTGGCTCATAGTTGGTGACATCTCTGGGTTTTGAGTTCTTGGCTTTTTGGAGTCTCTGGCTTGCCGTCCATTCAAGGAAGGTCTTTTCCGTACTTTGCATTCGCTGGAGCTGGCGATCCATCTCACCAGAGGCGTTCTCTACCAGCAGCTCTGGACATTCACTTGGGCCGCACGGGAAAAGTCGCCCGGTGGCATCAGGCGCGCGGCCAAGGGCATGTTGGATGGGCGAATAGCCTCGGATCAATTCTCGGCTATTAAAGGTCCTAGTGGCTTCAGCCAGAGCTTCTGCTGCGGTGACTTCTGGGTCATCTTCAGCTATTTTGTTCATGAGAGTCTTGGTACCCTGAATAGCCTGTTCACAAATGCCCACCTTCCAGTGAGCTTCACCCGGAATAATGTCCAACATTATTTGGTGCCTATCACAGTATTCTTGAACCACATGACTCCTGAAGCTACCATCCGGATCAACCCTGAGTTGATTAGGAAAACCAAAATACTGAACCCAGTGTTCCCCAAACGTTTCAACAAACTGATTGGCAGTAAGGTGACTTCTTTTCCCCGTAAGAACAATTTTTCCAACACGAAAACGGCATCCCTCATCAACGAACATCAAAAATTGATAGGACTCCTTAGTTTGTGGGTGTTCCCAGTGCCCAATATCCCCTGACACAGACGCCCATTTTGGGGGGTGAGGCTCCAAGGTGGCTAAAGGTCGTGGCTTCGGTCTACCCCGTTCCTTACAAACTGAACACTCAAAACGTTCGGCTTCCCTGAGCACATCCTCTGACACTCCCCTGCGTCGCAGGGCTTGCACCAGGTGTCTGGTTGGCCCGTGGCCAGTGGCAGCATGTAAGAGGTACAGTCGTTTTCTTATTTCTTCACTAGTCAGACCCTGACCCCTTTGTTGGTTATCTTCCCCAACCAGAACTTCGTGGTTTCCCTTACTGTCACACTTCCCATGATTGGTTCCCTTGATTCTTTCATGCTCATCATGAACACATGAACCGCAAACAAAACCATGTTGAGAATCATGAATGTGGTGACAACTGCAACTGATCCCATTACCAAAAGTTTCCCCAATTTGGTGGTCTCCCACAAACTCCCTTTTTAGGTCTTCATCTTCCGCTCCATGAATCAACGCATCACAGACCCTTCGGGCAAACTCGGGGGTGTAATAGGCAGTTTTGTTGGTAAGGGAACCCTCGCACTTCACATGTTTCTGGTGAGGCCCACAGCTACATGGCATGTTCATCCTTTTTGCCAACAAAGCATGAGTGGTCATGAGTTTCCAGCCTTTCGAAATTGGGTTTTTCTCATCATCAACAAGACCAACACGACAACCCCGTACCACAGCAAACCATGGATTATGTTTCTTCACCAGTTCCTGCATCATGGGAAGCCTCCATGCCTGACATGATTGTGACCATTCCCAAGTGACATGTATACCATGCTGAATACAGTACGTATATATGACACTGCAACCGACATACTGTTTCATGGCAGCTTTGCGCTTCTCAGAAAGGGCCTCCTTCTGAGCTTCACTTCTCTGATTGATGTTTTGCATCACTGAAAAAGGTCCACAAACCGGAGAAAGCCAAACATGTTTTGGTTTATAATGGTCAATATCTTGAATGACTTTGTGAATCCCCTGGTTGGTTCCTAGATCATACTCATTGAAAAGTGAGCAGCGTCGGGCCGCACCCTCGTCACCTTTCTTTTGTTGCATGGTGCGAGACAGCACGCTGTCGGCCGAACATGCCACTTCCAGCAGCTCTATGCGCTGGTGTGATAGCAGGGCCTCAAAGGCATTCGAAATCAATCTGTCACTGCAATGGGACAAGTGTCTTACTTTTTGCTCAGGTAAGGCTTCCCATGAGCCCCTCCAGAGCTCACTGTCGACCTGCATTCCCGTCTGTGACAAATTAAGGTTTTCTACACTCCCAGCTGAAGCTACTGTGGGATCGGCACGAAAGAGCCTGTGGATGACTCTGTCATCTCGGAGACACTGGATGCTTCGACCTTCTTGTGAGGCCTCTCGGCTTTCAGATTGTCCACGTCCTCCTTGAGGGCGTGCATCATCTGCATCATCTGCATCATCATGTTCTCGGTCTTGCCATTCGAGCCGCTGGCCGGCGTCGATGTGTTCTTGTAGCCGCTGGAGGTCTGCTTGTAGGTCGGCATCGGATGCTGTGCCTCTGGGCTCTGGAGCCAATTGGCCAGACGGGCCAGGCGGTAGTCGCATTCCCCCTCGTTGGCGGTCTTCACGACCCAGCTGGCATACTGTGGGTGTTGGGCTAGAAGCTCGTGGTACTGCAGACTGCAGTGTTCCCCGAACCCCACAGGATCCTCCGGAGAGGCGGCTGTGGTCTGGTAGATCTTCTTGGTGCCCAAGCGCTGCAGCTCCTGAATGGTCTCGGTGCCACGGGTCTTCACCATGAGCTTGTTGTTCACGTAGTCCACAAGGTCGGACTTCTTCTTGCTGGCCTTGTTCAGCTCGATCATGGCATGGCGCATCGGTGGCCGTACCTTCCCTTTCTGAGTGGTCATCCCGTTGGCTTCCTTGAGTTCCAAAAGGCGACTCTCGATCTCCATGATGCTCCACTGTTTTGGAGCTGTTTCGCCAAAGGTCATCAGGAGCTCTTCCACCAATTCCTTTCTGGTGGCACGAGGCATGGCTCTTGTTCACTGACTCGTTGGGGATCTCGTCTAGCTTGTGCTGGAGAGCTGCAGGAGGAGGTTGTTCTTGCTCTGTACACTGACTGCTGTCTGAGATTTTTCCAACATGTCCATGGAAACCCTGGGAAAGTTTTTCATCATCAACAACCACATGGTCATGAACAACACACCCAACATCATCATGAATGCTCGGATCACCAACCGTGTTCAAGGGGTTGTGAAAAGTGCCTGAAACATCGCTACTGACCTTCCTTTCCATCTCAGGCGCACGGAAAGAAAGGAGTTGTCCCTACAGGAACGCATTCAGGCTCGGCACTGGCTGTGCAGTGCTCTGAGCATCACTGTACCAATCCTGAGTCATGGGCAGCAGCTGATGGCCAGTGGCCGAACGTTCCATCTTGATGATCTTGGACGGGTTGATCTTGCGGAAGACGACCATGTCCTCGGAGAAGTCGATGATTGCTCCCAAGGCCCGTAAGGACTCAATGGAGAACAGCACAGGTCCTGCTCCCGCATCCAACGCATGTACTTGTACTTGTCCAGGTTTGCCATCGGCTTGAACCTCGAGTGAGGCTGTGGACACGCACTGGTTCTTTGATGAATTTCCAAAACCAAACGTAGGCTTGTTCTCCAAGTCAAGGTCGGCCAGGCGAGAAGTCCCATGCTTGTACTTGTTGAGGGCAATGATCTTCTCGAGGGCCACCACGCTGCCAAGGGTCTTTGTAGCCCCTCCATCAACGACAGCCTTGCCTTGCTCGACGGCCATCTGAGTGGAGATAGGCCCTATGCTGCTGGTGTCGGCAACATCAAAGAAGGCCTCTGGGCAAGCATCGGAGAACCCAGCATCCAGGTAGTTCACCTCGTGGTCGTCCGGGACATAGGGGTCCACAATCTCATGGTCCTTGGTGATCTGGCCTTGTGCAAAACAGATGAAAGGTGCAGCCTGCTCTTCGGCTGAAGAGGCTGTCGTTGTTGCCATTGCCTTTGGACATGATGAAGTCTTGTGAGGACCACCACATCGGAAGCACTTTTGATCTGTGCCAGAAGCTACAGCCGAAGTGCTTCCAGAGGGCTTGAAGTTGGTGCGGTAGTACTTCCGAGACATCCTCACCTGATGTTGTTTCTGTCTGGCCTCTTTCAAGGTGCGACGCCCGCGCTCCATCATGGCTAGGGCTTCTTGAGCCACATCTTCAGCTTCACCCAGGAGTGCGAGGCCCTCGTCATTGAAGTTGCGGTGAGCCTGGGCAACCCAGGCAGTGTCATAGTCCTCAGACTCGGCCTCTTCATTCTCATCCACCCACCAGCTGGAGTGACGATTGGCTGCATCTCGACGACGCAAGTCCTCATCAGTCCACTGGCTGCGTAGCTCCTGTGCCACTCGGGTCATAGTGAAGTCGCCCTTCAGGGCTGCCACGACCATGTTGCGCTCGTTGGTGTCCAGGCCAGAATCAAACAAGAGGTACCAGCCCTGGACATACTCTGGTAGTAGTTCAGGGGCTTCCACATTCCAGTCGGCATTCTCGGAAGGTGTCCAAGAGGTACTCCACCAGTCATTTGACCACCAGTCCGGGTAACTCCAGGAGTCTCCTGAAGGACCTGGACCAGTGGAGCTTCGCTCCTCGGTTGCATCCTCGGTGGAGCTTGATCATCAGGTCGAGCAAGCGCTTCCCGATCATCCTGAATCTCCTCAGCACTCAGGTTCTGACTGCCAGCCAGGGAGGGTGTCCTCCTGTAGTTGGCCCAAGGGTCGGTGGACCCCGGACGGCTATAGCCGCCGTAGCTCTTCTCCCACGCTGGCTTCTTTTTCTCATAGTGAGACATCACCCTGTGAAGTCCTTGCCTAGCTCTTGCATACAGTTCTGACTTCCTAGTGACGTACTCATTCATGGTCTCCCCCTTCTTGCGCCTGGACTGCCGGAAGTAACGGCTCAAATGATCCGTCAGTTCAGGCATCTGTGGAAGGCCCAAGTTTGACCTCAGGTACGTCAGAAGCCGCTGCACGCCTCCATTGAAGGAGAGCCATTCGGGATGCTTGCCCACAGTGAACCTGCGAGCAGTGCCCGTCAGCTCTGTGAGAAGCCTCGGGCCGCACAAGTAGCGCTTGTGCATCGCTATGGATTGCTCCCACAGCAAAGCGCTCTCTTCAAACTCCTGATATGTTCCGGCATCTCCATCCCAAATGGGAACTCCTTCTCGCGTCTTCTCTATCCTTTTCTGCTTCTCCGCCATGTTGTTCCTCCTATGGCTCTGGCAATAGGAGGCTGTAGGTCCCTGGTCTCACGCCCGCCCGTAGGCAGGCTCCGCTACCGTGCAAGCGGTAGAAGTGCTCAAGTAGGATATGAAGAGTCACTGGAATCGATTGGACAAGGAGGGGTGTTCAACGCCTCATGAATCTCGCTCCGCGGCTCTTTTCAGCCAATACTTCACGGAATAGGCATGTCAACGCCTATGAGTGCTGTGGTAAAAACAGCACCTTATATACACTCACATGTACGACTAACTGATTGCAAAGGTTTCCAGGTTTCCCTAAGACACTTGAGTTCCTTTGTTTCCTTTTAACCGCTCTTAGTCGATAAGTCAAGCGGATCGATTTCCGAAAAGCTGAGGTAATTCAGGGGCAGGACTTTGCCAATGAGGGTGAAGTGTTGTTGATGGAGCCCGGGATGGTATCTCGGCGCTGTCAGCTGTCTGAGCCATGAAAAAAAAATAGGGTCAGAAGTTGGATAATGACGCTGTTTTTTAAACAAAAAAATCAAGGGTATAATGTGCAACATGGGGATATCAATGGATATTAAAATGGAAATTGTTCACGGGAACACATACATGATCATCATATATCATCATGATCATTGGGATATTTATTGGTTAAATCATGTGGATTTTCCCTGGGAATATCGAGATCGGCTTGGGGAAGCCATGGGATTTTCCATGGGATTCTCCATGGCTTCCCCGGGGATGCGGGGGATGCTCATGGGATCATCCATCCCCTCCTGGGATTTCCATCATGGGATGGAGCCGAGGCTCCTTCCAACAGTGACATGCATTGCGATGTGCATCTTGACGAAATATTTGGTGAGGAAAAATGGGACGAAAGATAACCCAAGTATACCCAAGTGATATGAAGTGCAAGTGGAACCAAATGTTCACAATACAAAACACTTGGGATTGGCTGAACCCAAGCCAATTGACTAGATTATGATTCTGTCTATTGGTGCCTAAAGTTAGTTTGTTTTGCGGACGGATTCCAATTTGGTACACTCAGTGAAAGAGTCTGCAAAACAAACTGTGACCGTGGTTTGACACTACAGAAATTCCTTCGACTTCTGCAAAAACTAGGATCTTTGAAATTCTTCTAATTGTCGATCCCTCAAGAGTGAGGATCGTTTTCCCAGAAGGGTCACTGTTTGTTGAAATTCTTTGAATGAAGGCATATGAAGGCTGAATTGGATTGATGCAGCGCTACCCAAGTACCGTGATGCCCTGATGCCGTGTAGAACCACAAATTGCGAGATCTCCCGAGGCTGCAATGGACGGACGCCGAAGTCACATGTCGTCTGCCGGAGCTCACGGCAGGTCCTTATGAGGCGACGGTTCGGCCTCGACGTCCACGCTTCGGTTGATCCAAAAAATGCAGGGTATCCGAATCCCGTCAGTTTATTGCTAATTATAGGGGGAATGAATGGAAATGATGAGGTACCCCATGTTCAGACACTGCCAGATTTTCCCCAGAATTTTGCATGCATGAAGTTTTGGACGCAGTAGCCGAACGAAGATGTGCAGTTTGTCATAGTTTGTCCTTCAGTTCTGAGATTTGATGTTTGGAAGGTTTGCCAGTGACGGTTTCTGTTCAAAAAGGTCTAAGATGGTCAAAGCCTCACAGATGTGTGAAAATTCTCCAAATTGTTTTTGTGGGGCATTGGAACTGGAAGGTCCGTGTTCGAGTTCCGTTTCTGGGAGACGCTGCAGCCTGGCAACAAGACCGCTTTCTTCAAGTCTCTTCAAAGGATTCAAAAGGAAAATCAAAGGATTACCCTCTGGTAATGACTAACATAGCTATTGTTAAAATTGCCCATTTATAGTGGATTTTCCCATTAAAAATGGTGGATTTTTCCATAGTTATGTGACAGTTTACCAGAGGATTATGCATCTCACATGGATTGCGATGCATGATTTTTGTTTGCAACTCCTCAGGGCTTGTGCATCAGTGGATCAGGTCGTTCCGATACCTTTTGTCGTTCCGCTGAGCATTGAGAAGCAGGTTGCAGATGTTGCAGATGACATGAGATCAGAAGAGCTTCATGAATTTTTCATGGCAGTTTCTAGCAGCACATGATATGGCAGTGTGTCAAAACCTTGTACCCCTGGTGAACATCAAAATAGCTGGTAAATGGATGTTCATTCCCCTAAAAATGGTATTAATAGGTATTGATCCATACCCATATGCACATCGTATTTTGCTGCTTTTTGTATAACTTTTCTCATCTTTTCTCCCATGCGTCGCTGTCCAGGACTTGCAAGAGGTCAACATGGCCGGTGGCGAGGATCGAGGGGCAGATATGGGCATATGGCGCTGGGTGGATAGGTTTTGGAAACGGCCTGAGGAAACTGCCAACCGTTGGTTTCATACATTTGTTTTTATGGGTTGAAGAAACAAATTTTAGGTTGATATAAGGTTCACAATATATGATACCCTCATCAATCTTTGACTTCGGTGCGATCTTGTGGATTCTTCGTGCTGGATTTTGGTTGTGAGAAACGGCGCCGGCCGTTGCAGGAGCTGAACTTTTCTGGCACCGGACTAGGTGATGCCAAGGCGCAGATCTGCAATATCGTGTTCAGGATCTGTCATCAGATCAAAACCGGTATCAATACATATACAGTATATATATATTATATGTATATCCCAAACCATCCCAACTCCATTGGGGCCCTCAAATCCCTTCGGTACCTCGAGGTGAAGTTGCCGAGGGCCCAAGGGCCCATACCAGGTCCAGAGGCAGCCATAGGAGAGGCTCAAACATGTTGAAATGGATGATCATCACCAAATTCAAGTTAACAACCAGAACTTAGCAATTGGGATAAGTAACCAGGGTCATTTTCCCTAATGTTCTTTGGTGGTTACATATGGGATGGTAACTAGCATATGAAGGGAAGGTTCATTCAGAAAACCCAAGAATGCACACCAACCTTTGTTTTTTCCACACGGCCGCGTTGATGGGCTATGAGCAGCCAACACGGGCTAACACGGCCACAGTCTCAGAGCCAAGCGAAGGGTTGGCAAAATGGGTTAGCAGATGATTCTAAACTTTTTGTGGGGAATGTTGTTAACCCTGTCAACTTCGGGGAGATGTTCTTAAACTTGCTTAAACCATTTAACTCTGCTCACCCCTCTCCAACCTTTGCACATGCAAGTGCATGAGTGCCAAATACTTTTGAATTGTGCGCAACGTTAGCGAAGAACGATGCGTGCGGCGTCCAATACGCCCAACGTAGCCAACAAAGCTTTCTGCACTGAGCAACATAAAATGTTTTGGGTTTAATCGCGTTTCCTTCGCGTCAACCCCTGCGTGATACAAAAAGTGGTGCTTTGGTAGCAACACAAAACAATTTCTTCCTGGTTCTTTTCCTTTGGCCTTAAAGCCCTGTACATTCAAATTTGCATATGCTTGCAAATGCACAAAACAATGTTCCTGAAATTGCTCTGCTTCTGCCTCCGTAAAAATGTTTTTGGCAGAATCCATGACGCTTACCATCCGGGCATAGCTCCAGAGGCATGTTGCCAGCGTTTTCTCCAACAGCGTTGCATTAGGTCTGTTTGCCCAAGCAACAGCACGTTCTGTGAGGAAAAAAGAAATTGTTTTTCCAGCAATTGCTTTGGAATTCAGAACCGGCCACATTTGGCGATGTCGTCTATTCACCCTAGCTAGTGTGAAACGAGGTTGGGTACAAGCAATTTTATTTTGCTTCTTCCATGCAAGAAAATCAGCGTGCGCCTCTTGCAAGGCAACTTGAAGTTTTTCATCATACTTGCCTGGCCCCTGCATGTTTCCCCACAGGCCGGTTTCACATAGCACAACCAGCGCGCCACCGTTCAATGTCTTTCCAGTTCCAAGATATTGGCTATGCGCCATATCATGCAGTATCCTCTTGGGGTGTGCCCCTGGAATTGTGTAGACTGCGGAACCTGCAGTGAGCTCGAACCCTTTAAAAATCGCAAACATATATACGTACATATGTTCAGCATATAGGATGATGGTTGCCACTTACAAATCTGAAGCTAAAGCGCGCAGAACCAAAAGTGCTTTGACTAAATCAAGCTGGAGAACGATTGACAAGATCCTCGTGTCTATACACTCTGGTAGTAGACGCATGCAAGGCAGAAGCTGTGAAATCACCCAAGGTCATCCCAATCACGTCATGACGTTTTTTGCACATGCAATAGCCACAAAAGTCATTGCTGCGGTAATCAAACAGGTTGCCGTAGGTGTGGTTCACCCATTTCAGGTCCCCTTGTAAGCTTGACAACATGAAGCTGTAGTCACCTTTCAGCCATGGGTACTGTTTTTCTCGTGCCATCTTTGGAGTGACCATCATTATGATCCGTTTCGAAATCTCAGACATCAAGTCATTGAAAGTGTAAGCGCACTCCTCGTACTCAGAAAATGCCGTGATCAAAAAATACCGTGATTTGAACGAGTTCCCTGTTGAAAGGTCGCTAGACCATGCCACGATTGACATCGCCCCACATTCAGAATTTCGAAATGTTTGCACATCATCACCGTAAAGTGACATAGGAACCATATTGTCCCAGTTGTTCGGGTGATTGTAGGATGGGTGTGACCTGAACCAGTCGCAAAAATTCCTGCAATGTTCCCAATACTCACGCACATTCCCATCCCCCAGAAGCATCTTCCGGAAAAGTTGAGGGGAGCGGGCCCACAAAGCTGACGCAAAGTCATCTGGGAAAATGAGCGGTAGATTTTTGACCTCAATGCGTGACTTCTTAGGGTTCCACATTCGAATAGGGGCAGTAGATATCGTAGCTCCAAATCTTTTTCCAAAGGTATTGATGACTGTTTGGCAATCTCGTTCTATGTTGCCTTTGTGGCGGCCATGGCATCCAGTACGTCCAATCCTCCCAACCAAGTCAGTGGGAGGAAGCTTTCCACCAAGTGATTTGCACCAAGTAACAGCTGAATGTGCAGTTTCTTGAGCCTTAGTGTGGAGCATCTCTGGCTATGGCTATGGCTATATCTCATTTGAACTTGGGGCCAGAATAAAGACTTGGGAGCAATAACACCAAAAGATATCAAACAGATTTCACCTGGGAACGGTTGTAGCAGCATTTTTGCCACTAGCGTAGTTCTCAAGCAGCAATTCCCCCAGAGGAGTAGGTGTCACTGGTTTCCTGCAGTCATACTCTTTGGTAGCTTCCAGCACATGAGGGGAAATAAATGGAGTGAGCCGAGGTCTCTTCGAGCGATGGTCTTGGCTTGTGTCCTGCAGGGCCCCCCAAGCTTGGCAGGGGAACGGGCACCAAACTACCACAAATAATTGCGGGCTTGGTAGGGCTTCTAAAAGTATACAAATCACCACACATAGTTTATACCATTTTTTTGTGGACTGGGTGTGGCTTTAAAAGCATAAGATAACCCTTAACCACTGCCTGCTCTCCCTCATTGTTTAAGAAGTCCAGGGGATAGCGTCCTGCCCCAAAGAATCTATGCATGTTGTTTTTTTCCCTGCGCATGCTGGATCAAGGCGTCATGGGACTATGTTTCTTTTTTCTCTTCAGCCTAAAGCGAATCCATCTTTGCTCAAAGATTTCATGGCACGTGTCGAGTTAACACATGGTCAGCAAAAGTGCTGCAAGGCTCCACCAGTTCACCAATAGCCATCATCCTGACCATTACCAAAAAAATGAGAGTGGTAACAATATTGTTGATAATCTATAGTCTACAGCTATATCCAGTGGTCTTTGCCTTTGCAACCACACCCCTGTAGACTGCACTAGCATTGGGCGCATGTTGGCACAACTAGGCAGCTACACTTCCCAGAGTTCAGAAAAGTTGTCCATCGCCTTGGCCTAAGGCTCACCAGCGTCCTCTGCCTGCAGACGAGGACAACGACTCACGGTCGCGAAGAGGGGAAAGAATGGGAAAGGCAGAATAGGTAGATGGATGAAGTCGTCAATGGCTTGCATGCCAAACATCTATTAATTAATTATATGAATGCGCATGATTTCAAACAGTCATGTTGTGGGGCCTCATCAGCTGACTTCCTCTTTTTGCCACCTTTGGGCTTGCAAAGGCCTGCAGCGGCCGCAGCATCACCTAAGTAAGCATCACGGATAGAGGCCACATCCACAATCACCCCGGTGAGCACGGCCAAGTCCAGGGATTGGCCAGCGTCCTGGCGTAAGCATGAGGGTCTATCCTGGACTGTAGGAGTTAACTGAGTTAACAAACTTTCATGTTTTTTTTGATCACTAGCAGTCCTTCTGGACCTTCCACTGCTGGAGCACAAAATACTTCTCTTCAATGAGCTGCGAATGCTTTGCAAGAAGATTTCCTTGGATAGAATTGGTATCAGCACCAACCCCCTAAAGCTAATGGTGAACCGAACAATTGGAATTCCATGTGTTCAAGTGTCTCAGTGTGTCTTGATGCTTGTGCTGCATCAATCGGATCGGCCACATCTTCGATTCCTTCAGATCCTTCTCCAAAGATGAGAAGAGCCAATCAAGCGCTGCCACTGGATCAGTATTTGGGCATGGCATCACTTTGGGCCTTAGATAGGTAATCATGATACGATTCATGACATATATACCAAAAATTGGGGTTAAACATCCTGATGCCAACCAACATTTTTGAAAGCACAATGATAAAGATTCTTTAAATTCAATTTAAAACACTTCTGTGCCTTCTTCGGCTTCTGAAATGGGGGAGCTTTTGGTGTCGTTTCCTTTGGCACATGTGGGACCGTCTCAGTATCGCCCCCATTCTGCCCGGAGCCGCTGGCAGGAGTTGGCATTGGGGCCTCTTTCTTCAGCACGGGAGGAGCGCCGATAGAGACCCGGGGAGCGAAGACCGATGGGTCTGCAAATCTCATCGCGCCCTGTAGTCTGGCTTCTGGAAAAAAATGGGGGTATATGTGGAAAACAATACACTGGGTCTTAAATCATGAATTTGTTTCGTCATCAATAAGAATTCAAGCGAGCCTGACTTGCAGCATGCATCTTAGCATGCACAGCCATGGCCATAGTGTCATTTGTCTCTTCTTGTTCTGACTGGGTCAGCTCGATAAGTACCTAAGTGAATAGGCTGGTTCTCTAACCCCCAAGCTTATATTTCAAAAATGACGGTGTATGGATCCCAGCTAATCGAAGTATAGGATGGTTCCCAAAGTCCAATGGTCATAGCCATGAATATAGGCACCCCAATCTTATATTTCAAAAATGGTGTGTGGATACCGCCTAATTTTTGGTTTTGTGGCCGAAATGGACGGGACTGTGATACTCATAAAACAAATCCAAAGTACCCAATACATCTTCACACCCTCAATTTCCGGGTGGTTCTGCACGAGCCCCTCCCGCTCTTTGCGAGCGATAAGTTGGTCCACGAGGGTGGTGTCATTGCCATAGTGCACCATCAGCTGGGCACGGGTTTTCCAGCCTGAGCCGATGAGAGCCGCGGCAAGGACCCTTGTGACCTTTCAGCGTAACTCAGAACCCAGCCGTGTTTCTTGTCTCCAATGATGCGGTCAGTGTGGGACCGCGTGAAGCTGAATTCCAACCTTATATGTGGGCAACTA